TTCTTCATTTTTATTTTGGACAGTTTTTATTGTTATATTCAGTTATGTTTGTAAATAATTCATTTTCAATTTGCAACCTATTAAAAAAATTCGGTTTTGGTTTCATTTAAAAATAGGAGTTTATGCATTAATAACATTCAAATACATACTATGTTTCTGCCTAAGTGAGACCTAACTGGAAAATAAATCAGCCTTGAAAACTACAGATCAAGGGGGTGGGGAGATGGCTCAGTAGAATAAGAACTTGCCTGGCAAATTTAGGGGCCTAAGTTCAATCCTAGTTCTGCCAAAAAACCAAAAACAAAACAACAAAACAACAAAAAGAAAATGGGATCAAAAGGCCAGCCCCAAGTAGCCTGTCTTTGCCTTACCTGCCTTACAGAGTAACGATTGATTAAGAGAAATAGTGACAGCAGCTATTATTATTTACTGGTGAAAATATAACCAATGATGTAAGCAATCTAATATGTTTTAACTGATCATGATTTAAAGTAATAATATAGAAATACTTGGATAAATAGTAATACTTTATTTTAGTAAAAATTTATTTAATTCTAATTCTTAATGCGCTCCAAAAAGAGAAATTTTTATTTAAAAATTTGTTAGGCTTCTGAATAGCTCTGTCAATAATATATGTTTTATAAGCTAATGTTGGGTGAAATCCTACCAGTCAATTAATGGTGTGTTTACAAATAGATGGAAAATAGAGAATAAAAACCACATAACATGTGGATGACTACTCACAGCTATGGACAAATATTTCTCCATTTATTGTCATAACAGATTTAATAACAACATTATTAAACAAAACTATTAACATTATTAAAATGGTACTCACTTTAAAATCAAGATATCTATGTATGATACAGAGGGTGACAAAATCTTCAGCAGACAGGCCAGGCAAGTTTTCAAAATCTAAATAGGGTTTATAAATAGAGATTTCTTTACACAGAGCAAGTGAACCGAGAAGCATATCACTCAAACAAACATAAACGGTTCCTTCTACTTTCATCTCAGTTTGTGGAATCGCTGCTTTCGTGAGTGTCAGTGCCTCCCGTAAGAGACTGCCCTTGTCCAGTTGTGACCTGGACAGCACCCTTTCTGTGTCTGGGCTGGGCTGACAGTGATACCTGACTTTGTGAAGCTGGAGAGGGAGGGCTCCTTTCACAGGAAGCAAAGACTTACAGAAAGCTTAGGTGAGTCGGAATGCTAATTGCTTACGGCTGATCATCTACACTAACCGCCCTTACCTCTGGCTGCACGCTGGAACTGCCTGGGAAACTTGAAAAGATACTGATGCTGGGGCTTCACGTCCAGAAATTCTCATTTATTTGGCCAGTGGTGCCCTCGGGGCGTCGGGGCAACAGTGGATCACACCCTTACCCACACAAAGGGACTGAATGTTTGAAGAACGGGGTCCAAAGCAAAATCACCGTCCAGGGATGCTCCGCCATGCAGGGAAGCGCTTACAGATTCGAGCCATAGCTGCTTACCTAGTTTGCCCAACACAGCGTAAATTTTTGCTCTGATATTCTCAGCAACATCCATGACTGCAATAGAAGGGCAGTTAGCAGGCAGTGACGTAGTTTTTTGTTCTTCTTGAAAACTAGTAAACAGAGGCCTCTTCGTGTCTGATCATTGGATATCACAAAAATACGGAAGGAATAGATAAAAACTATCGTAAATAAATATTTAATTTTTATTTTTTATTTATTTTTTATTTTTATTTTAATTTTTTTTAATATTTAATTTTTAAACTTCAGTCTATAGGCCATAAAGTATTTAAAAACATTCCAATAGTGAAATAGTATCTTACACATAGTTACTTTTTTCAAAGTAGAATCAGGAATTTTTCTCTGTGGCAAAACCTAAAGCTTTCATTTTTATTATTTATACAAAATATAGATTTTGTTTTGTTTTGTTTTTTTGTGGAACCGGGCATTGAACTCATGACCTTGCACTCGCCAAGCAAGAACTTATTTACTGAGCCATCTCCCTGGCCCAAAGTATAGTTATTTTTAAAAGGGAATTTTTTTATGTAACTAACTTCTTCAGTACCAGCAAATAAGCAAACAAAATATTTCAAGTAATAAAAATGGGCTGAACATCATTTTGGCCCTAGCCTTCCAAGCCAATTAAGACTCAAGACATATGAGAACTTGTACTGTAACATCATGTAACTTGGTAGTGTCCCAAATTTTCTGATCAAGGAGATTATGGGACCAAAGAGGAAAGTGATCGATGATGTAGAGTGTGCCTAAGGAGAGTCACATGGAGAGAAAACATTCTCTCAGGCTTTCACGGAGAGCACATTGGCCAAGCAATGGCTGTGACTCATCCACATGGCTGACACTTGACTAAGCTTCTACAATCTGAGGTACAAGATCTCAGGATAAATCCTGAGGGGATTTCACTGACCTCATCAGACCCAAAAGCTACAACTCTTGCATAGGTCCTGCTTTACCTTGGTCTTAACCATCCAGTAGAAAAGTATAAAAATGAAGTATAAGAAGTAAAGCCATGCTGTTATGTTGAGCTGTAGGGGACTCAGGTCAACAATTTCTGACATTGCCAGTAAAGTGGAAGACCCAATACTATTATGGGCTACTGGACTCTTTTAGAATATTTTGCTGAGTTTACACACCTATAATATTCAAATACTGGAACTTAACAAAAAAAGGGGATACAGATTAATGTCCATTTTGTTTCTGTGTATTCAAAGTGGTTAAGATAGATATATAGTTACATTCTCTTAATGAATAGAATGATTTGTTCTAATGGTGTTTGTAGATAGGATATCAAGTCCGCATCTTGTATAGCAATTAACCACTAAGAAGAATGTATGCGGTGTGTTAATTATTGAAACTGTCCTACCGATTTGAAGCTGTCTCATTGCTATTTGTTTATCAATAAAATTATGGCAAAAAATGGGTTGAAAATAGAAATCATCAGAGACATGTTCATTTAAAAATAAATAACATATTTTTGATAAAACAAAACTGCAATTAGAATCTTAAAAGGCTTAGGAGATGTAATATGGCATTATAGAATACATAAATGAACAATGTATTCTCAGACTATAAACCTCATGACTATGGTAATTAAAATATTTTTACTTAGGAAAAAATTTGTTTATAAATTGTGTAAATATTAAGGTAAAAATTATTAAAATTGTTATGAAGCACCCTATTTGCATCCCTAAAATTTACTGGTAAATGGAATAATACTGAATCTCTTTGTAAAAGCAGAAAGCCCAAAAATACTTCATTAGAAAGTACTATTAAGCCAGGCATGGTGGTGCATGCCTATAATCCCAGCACTCAGGAGGCTGAGGCAGGAGAATCAATGCAAGTTTGAGAACAGCCTGGGCTACAAAATGAGCTCAAGGTCAGCCTGAACCACATAGGGAGAGCCTGTCTCAAAAAGACAAAAAAATATTGAGCTGCAAAAGGCTCAAGTCAACAACTTCCGACATTACCAGTTCCGCGGATAAGCCTGTACCATTATGGACTATTGAGCTACATTGGATTATTTTACTGAATTCATGTACCTACAATATTTGAATGGCAATGGGACACCCATCTCTGACAAAACTAAACAAAAAGGGGGGATGTAAATGAAGGTTCATTTTGTAGTGAAAAAAAATATCTGTATATACAAAATTAGGATAGATATACAGCTACTTTCTCTTAGTTCAATAAGAAAGATTTATACTAAAGTGTTTAGAGAAGACATGTCTTCAGCTTTTACTCTGAATAACTACTATGAAGACAACAATATGCAATGTATTAATTATTGTAACTGTCCTACTAACATGTCTTGAAACTGTCTCATTGCTATTTCTTTTTCAATAAAATTAGTAAAAAATAAATAAAATTTTTAAAAAAGACAAAAAAGTACTGGAAGTAAATAAATGTAGCCAAGTACTATGTTTTAAAAATATTCTATAAAAAATCTAAACCTGCCATTGACTTGCTCCGTTCTAGTCACTAAGTATTCATATTAACAATTTTTTTTTAATTTAGTTTTTGACCATACTAGGAATTGAGCCCTAGGCTTTTTGCACTGTTACATGCCCAGTCCTTGTTTTTATATTTATTTATTTGGTGGAACCTGGGATTTAATTCAGGCCTTTGCACTTGCCAGGCAAGTGCTTATTCTACTGAGCCATCTCCCTGGCTCCCTATTTTTTTTTTTTTAATTTTTATTTTGAGACAGGCTCTAAGTTGCTAAATTGCAGAGGATGGGCTCAAACGTGGGATCCTCTAGCCTTGCCCCTCTGGCATGTAGGTTCACAGGCTCGTACCAGAGAGCCAGGCCAATGGTTCAGAATTTATGATAGCAACATCTTCGAAGCGCTGTGAAAAGTACTTTAGAAAATGGGGTGAAAATCCTCATATTTTCATCATACTCTTTAAATCTCTTAAAAATATGCATCCAGTTGCTTCCACTAAAAGTCCCAGATACACTTACCAATGATCTTCCCGTATTTGTCACGCTTTACTCCTAGCTCTTTTTCTTCTTTTCTCCACAGTTTAATTAAAAGACTAGCAGCTGTCTGATTCTTTTTTCCTCTCCAAGCATTGACATGAGCTGCAGTTTTGGGATTATCACAGAATTCAACCATTATTCCAAGTATTAGATTGCAGAACTTTTTTTGGTTTAACTTTAGCAAGAAAACAGAAAACAAAGAAAATTGTGATAAAAATTAAGGAAGATTACTTTTCTTAAACAAGAGAAATGTATCATCAGTAAGTTCCTTCTAACCCAAGAATCTAAGTATGATTTGGGGACAATCTCCTGTTAAAAATAGACACCAACTGCATTGGGTATTTTTAGTATCAGAAATTAGAGATTAAAAAAGATTGTAACAACTTTTTTTTTTTTTTTTGGTATTTTAGGGAAGGGTCTACAGGGTGTTCAGAGTCTCACTACTAGATTGGACTCAGTGATCTGCCTCTTTACAGCCTCCCAAGAGGTGGGATTACAGGAACGTGCCACCATGCCCAGTGTCAATTGCTGTCTCAGCGCACCATGGGGGTGGGGCCAGCACAGCAGGCCTGGGGATCAAAAGCCTGGCCCCTGCCCCTGCACCTGCTTGCAGGTGCTTTAATCCGCTAAACTATTTGGCCGGCCCTTTTGTTATAATTCGTCAGGTAGTCCTAAATATGTATCATGATCAAGGAATGTAGTTGATTTGGAAAAGGGAGATTGGCAAAAATGAATGAAGATATTTTAAATTATTTCTTTTTTAGCACTAGGGATCATATTCAGGGCTGTGCACATAGGCAAGTGCTAAGCCACTGAGCTACAACCTGCACCGCAAAGGTCAGCAGCAGCATGTTGCTGTAGTTACAGGGTTTTCATGTTCTGTGCTTTGCTAAAATTTGAAGGCATCCCATTAGATACACTATCTTCATTATCAAGACAATGATTGATGGTGCAATGATTAAAAAGTAAAATGCACCTTTGTAGCTTAACAATAATACCTATAGGGTACTCAATCATTCAAAAAAAAATCCCCTAAGAACAAACAAAATTTCCTTAATTTTCAAAAAAAAAAAAAAAATTGTTTTGAGTCGGGGTCTTGCTATGCAGTCCAGTCTGGCCTTGAACATGCTACATATCCCAGGCTGGCCACAAACTTGTGGCGATCTTCTTGCCTCAGCTTCCCAAGTGCAGGGATTACAGGTGTTCATGACCATGCCTGGCTAGTAAACCAAAATTTAAGTATAGAAATTCAGTCAGATGCTGTGGCCTCCACCTAGTCATTTTTTAATGTGAAAATCTTTTATTGATTAATTCTTATATTGCTAATAGAATACAACAAGGGAAATGTGCTGTTTTTTGTACTATAAAAAATGATTTTTTTCCTGATATGAGATACTAGTATTACCTACAAAGGGTTATATGTTGTATGAGACTGCCTGGCACATAGCAAGCTCTCAATAATATTTAACCAATGATAAAAATTACTGCTGTATACTTGATAAATATTGTAGTAGAATTTCATTCGGTGGGTACACTTTCAGAAGGAAGAGGCAAATGCCAAAGTTTAAAGTTGATACAAAAAATTCACGTGGGGCATGGTGGTGCACACCCGTAATCCCAGCACTAGAAAGGCTGAGAGAGGAGGATGGTTGCGAGTTCAAGACCAGCCTGGGGTACAAAGTGAGCTCAAGGCCAGCCTGAACTGCACAGAAAGACCCTGTCTCAAAAAGATTTTTAAAAAAATTCATTACAGCATATTTATAATTTGTACTTTATTGATTCAGTCCATATTAACATAATGATACAGCAATAAAATGCATAGTGATGTGTCAGGCATGATTTTAACCAATGTATGTATGTATGTATGTATACACATGTATGCACATGTGTGCATGCATACAGAGGCATGTGTACATAGTATCACTCACTTAACTCTTCCAACAGTATGATGAGGCAGATTATATTGTTACCCTTGTTTTATAGAAGATGACATAAAACACTTATTAACCAATTTTATTTATTTATTTATTTATTTATTTATTTATTTATCTATTTATTTATTTATCTAGTTTGCAGTACCAAGGATTGAACTCAGGACCCTGCGCTTGCCAGGCAAGCACTTATTCTACTGAGCTATCTCCCCAGGCCCACCAATTTTATGTTAGGGACAGGAAGGCATACAAATAATGTTAGCATGTCTATTAAATTAAAGCAGGCTCATTATTAATAAGATCAAGAATGGTGGCAATCATAGGCCAAGACATAGCTAACAGTCCTCATGAGAATTTTTCCCCAAATTTTACTAGGATGAAATAAGAATTTGTATTCCCTACCATTTTGACTTAGAATTGAGGCTAGAACTGAAGTTTATGTTCTTCCTGCCTGCTGGGTGGGGGCTGCCTTTACTGGAAGGCTTCGTCTGCTCACTGCTGCTCACCCTGCAGCCACACTGAGGCGTCCTCACTCCTCCCCACTATATATAGTTCTTTCTAAATGCTTACCTCGTCTTTTCTAAATGCTTACCTCGTCTACCCAGGCCTTTAACTTTAAAAAAAAAATTAAAAATCACGTATGTATGTACGTATGTATGCATTTAGTACAAAGCGCTAAGCAGCTCAGACTCATAGTGGTCTTCTGGTCTCAGCCTCCCCAGCGCTGGGGTTATAGGCATGCACCATAATGCCCAGTCTCTGTGGCCAGCACGGTGACCTGTAGTTCTGGGGCTGACGCAGCATGTAGTACCAGGATGGAGTCGGAATCCTCGCGCTTGCCAGGCAGGTGCTTAGATCGCAGAGCTATCTCCCCAGCCCAGGCTTTGAACTAATACTGGGGGAAAGCTAGAAGTTACAATAATGTCTATAAGATTTGGTACAGATATACTCATTGCAAACTGTTTCTTAGGTTGATGGGAAAAAAATTCTCTGCTTGCATACATTTAGGAACACTAAGTAAACCAATTTCTTCACTAGAGGAAAATTTAATTTTCTTTATTTTTTCTTTCTTTTTTGTTGATACAGGGTCTTGCTATGCAGCTCAGACTCATAGTGATCCCCCTGTCTCAACCTCCCCAGTGCTGGGATTCCATGCGTGCACCACCATGCCCAGTTCTGGGGTCGGCTCAGGGCGCCGGGGTTCTAGGGCTGCAGTGCATGTGATACTGGGGATTGAACTCCAGTCCTTGCACTTGCCAGATAGGCAAGCTATCTCCCCAGCCTCTAGAGGAATTTTCATAATCTTTAATATTTCATGTTCACATTTTGTGTTTCATGAATCTCCAAGAAAAATATTTATTTAAAACAATATATTTAACCATGATTTGGGGACACACTTATTGACAAGATAGTGGTGTGTGGTGCTTGGTTTGGAAAGGTTAAGAAGGACATTTAGGGGTAGGGATACAGCCCAACAGAGCCCTTGCTCGGGATGTACGAGGCACTGGCTTCCATTCTTACAGCCCCATTTCCTCTGGACTTCCAGTTACTGTGACCATACTTACAGCTAAAACATCCAAAAGGATAAAAATGCCCTCCTTTTCAAGAAAGTAATCTTCTGAGGGATAACATCCCAAGATACAGCACCTTAAATGAAAAGAAAGTTGCTCACTGACAAAGCGAGTTTATTGTTACAGAGCTTTTTTTTTTTTCTATCAAGGAATTTTCAAAAACTACTTTTCTTCATCCCTTTAAATCAAATAACTAGTGATTTTACTTTAAAAATGGAACTTGGAAGGCACTTTACCAATGGGAATCAATGTTAACTTTTTAAAAACATCATTTGTTCTTCATACTTTTTTTTTTTTTCTGCAAGTGCTTTGCTTTCATGACAACTATTCTTAAAGGTAACCACTAGTTGCTCCAATAACTATGCCTTCCAGGCTATCTGTTTACTTTTTCAGGAGGCTGTTGTTTCTTGATTGCATCCCATCTTTGCTGTCGAGATTACTTGCTGATGTGCTGGCTGTGTAAGTATGTGGATCTCAGGAGGGGAAGAACGGAAGCTACTCCCAGGGCTACTTTCACTGTTTTCCCTGCAGCAACACGGGCTGAATAAGCTGTTGCTGGTGGCAGTGAGTAGTAACAAGACTGACTTGTGCTCCTCCTGGGCACTGCAAACTTGCTGGGGTCACCTTCCCGGGACCCTACCCTACATAGCATTCCCTACTGACAGCAAGTGAACGTTGTCTTTACTATTTTTTTCATGATGTGGTGTGTGTGTGTGTGTGTGTGTGTGTGTGTGTGTGCATGTGTGTGTTAGGGAGAGGTTGTTGGTCAAAGGGACAAACAGCTTGGCTTCCCCAACACAGGTACTTATAGGTTTTACTTCCTAGAGTGCCATCAGACATACAGCTGTTTAGTCCATGAGAGTACTTCTGGATGAGAAAACTAGTTACATCAGTAGACCTAATGAAGCAGATGACCTTAGTGTAGGTGGGCCTTAATCAGTTGAAGACTTGAACAGAATAAAGAGCTGAGGAAGTGGGAACTCCTCTGCCTGCCGGCTGAGCTAGGACGGAAGCCTCTAGACTCCTACTAAGAAGCTGCCGCTCTTGTGTGGAAAGCCTACCTCTCAGGCTGGAACTTGGCCCATCAGCTCTGCTAGTCTTCAGACTATTGGTCACAAGCCGCAACTACCCCTTCCACCCTCCCAGGGTCCAGCTGTCTGACTTATTGTCCAGGTTGGAACTTTCCAGCCTTCATAATTATGTGCCAATGTCTTATCATAAATATACAACACTCTTACAGATTCTGTTTCTCTGGATAAACTGGACAATATCTAAATGCAAAGCACCAAAAACAAAACAAAACAAAAAAAAACCTAAGACAATCTTGATGAAGAAAGAAAAAGTTGGAGGATTATCAGATATCTAGACTTATTTAAAAGATATGACTGCAAAACAGCACAGTATTACAAAGAATAGTAAGTGACCAGTAGAAGAGAACGGAGATCTGAGCAGCAGAGCCAAAGCCCAGCAGTGTGAGGAACAATGGAGGGCTGCTTTCCCTGCACTAAGCTAGAGGGAGTTCAAATCACAAAAACAAAGACTTAAATGCAGATGTAAGAATGATTTCTATTTCTGTAATGTAGAAGGTTACTTTCCAAAAGGCACAGCTTCAGTTTTGGACTATCTAAAGGAAAAATGGCGTATGGACAGTTAGCTCTGGTATGGTTGTGGGTGAAGAAAATTGGTGTCTATAGTTGTCAAGTTAACGATTTTTACCTAACTTGATTATAGTAATACCTACCAAATGCTGTCCAGTGTACTAAAAAGAAGTACACTATAGCCTAGGCCACTCTGTAACTTCTTGGGGTCAGTTTTCATTACATGAAGAACTATATCTACACCTTCAGTTCCAAAGATTTTCTGTTGAAGAAATTCATTTACAATTATTTCTTGATGAAAGTATACAATCCCATCTCTTCCCCACTGCATTCCCTAAAACTATATATTTTTCTATCAGAAAATATTATTAGTAATATTATTAAGAAAATAATATTTTAATACAATTTAACAATTTTATTCTGGGAATTCATGAGAAATTATTGTAAAGCTTATCAGTTGAAAAGAAGGCTAACAGACCTGGACACTTTATAGTTTTTGTTTTCTCTTTTCCTCTTAAAAAAGTACTAAGATTTTCTGTTATTTTCTTCCATGTTACAATGAATGTAGTCTAAAATCATACTAGATGAATACTAGATAGTAGTAATTATCATGGAAGATTTTATAGTATTTTTTATAATACTCTCAAGAGAGAAGTATATGAACAGATCTTTTAACAACTTATGCAAAATTATTAACATTTAATATTTTCTCATGCTATCTTTTTATTATCCCAGTCTGTTCTGGCTCCCATAAGCAAGACTGTGATGACACTTCCAGAAGAGCCCAGAGGCGGGGAGGAAGAATGCAGGAATCACATCAAGGCTCACAGCTAAACCTACATTTACTCCTCCTTGCCTCTCCTTAAATCTGTCTACGTAAGCCTTCATAATTTTATATTATTATCTTTCCTATTTCACTGTTCTTTACTTAAATTATACATTTTAAGACACATTTTACTATGGAGGTAAAAAAGACGGAAGGGAATTGAACTCTTGTCATAAATTTTACTTTTAGGTGTGAACTAATTGAAACTCCCAAACAACATTCATAATAGTACAGTCTACTTTGGAAAATTTGCAGTTTCTTATGATGATAAACATATATCTTCTTTATGTCTACAAATTCTAATCCAAGGTATTTACTCAGGAGAAATGAAAGCATAATATCCACAAGGAAGACTGGTCCAAGAATGTTCAAGGAAGCTTTTATTCCAATTATAGCAAAGGAAAACAATCCAAGTGCTTATAATTTGCATGAATAAACAGATTTTGGTATATGAGCCATAAAAAGAAATTACCTAATGACCAAGATCTGTCTATCTATCTATCTATCTATCTATCTATCTATCTACCTATCTATCTATCTATCTAGAGCCAAAACAATGTATATACACACACTGCAGGAAAAGGAAAATAGTACGATGGTTTTTCAACAGATGGTGTTACCCTCATTTGAGGAATCCTAGAAGATGTATATTGCAGAAAACTCACTGTGCTGTGTCTCTTAGAAAAGAAATTAAGCTTGATGTGATGAAAACCAGACAGCTTCTGTTTCTTCTCTTGATGAAATAAAATGCAAATGAATCATTGTTTAAAAAAGTTAAAAATGCATGTGCAGCAATCTCAATGACCAATATTTCCTAAGCAGCAGTTTGTTTTACTAATAAGTGTCTAGAAGCTGATGGCCACCACTTTGAGCACTTTTTGTAAATGTAGAGGCCAAAGGTAACATATACTCTCAAGATGTTACAACAAACTTAGTATTAAAATACTTGTACAAGTTTCTCTTTTCCTGAAGTGTGTATATATCTGTATCTATATCTATATCTATATCTATATCTGTATCTATATATCTATATATATTTGGGGTAGAATATCTCTATATTTTTTGGGGTACAATATCTTTCTATCTCTATATATCAGATATCTGATAGATATAGATACAGATATATAAATATATATGTACATATATATTTCAGAGATACCATTATTTCTCTCTGGGTAACAGAAAAGAGGTACAAAAGAAGAAATATTGAGTGATTTAAAGATTAGGCAAAATCAATCTATGAGTAGAAACTGGTTAACTGGAGGTGTTAGGTGACTGGTAAGGGAATAAAGAAATTTTATAGGGAGATGAGAATATCATTTGAATTGGAATATTAGTTCATTAAAACCTACTAAAATATATAAGATCTATGCACTTCACTGTAATCATACTCTTAATTATAAAAACAATATTGATCTTTCACAAGGTTAAAAATGACATTATAGACACTTAAAGCATTCATAGTTTCAGTTGATTGGGAGAGCTGAACAAACTTTTGATTTACAGGCAAACATACCTTCCTTTGAATGTGATGTTCACAAAGACCAGATAAGATAAGTAATATATCAGACTGGATTTCTAAAACAATGGCTTCTTCTTTCTCATTAGGATGGCTTATAATATTTTTAAAGATTCCTGGTACAAAAATTTAAGGAATATCATGTTATTGGACACTTTTAAAAACATTTGGATGAATTACGTTTTGGAAATTCTTCCCAAAAAAATCTCTTCACCTAGGAAAACTATTTTAAAAGGGGCTATTTTCGATGCATAGTAATGCAGAAATTATAGACAGGAGGTAAAAAGTGGATTCCTTAATCTTGCGATACAGTCATAGACCTTTTATAAACATGTAGATAGCCCCATATACATAGACAGTCTCAGTACAATCATTAGTCCCACATATATAGAAATTCTAGTACAGTGTTAATGTAGTGTTATGAAGAGTCCTCAACAGCTGCAAGTAGGGGCATATGCCTGTAATCCCAGCTACTTGGGAGGCTGAGGAAGGGGGATTGCAAGTTTGAGGCTAGTGTTTCCTAGGTTCACTCCCTTAGCAAGGCCTTTGAAAATAGTGACCAAATTTCTGGCTGTAGTTTGCCTTGTCTCTTCCTCTCTTCATTGTTAGCAAAAGTAGAAGACCTACCTAAGCTTTTTTTTTTTTTTTTTTTTTTAAACCAGGGATTGAACTCAGGACCTTGCACTTGCCAGGCAGGTGCTTATGCCAATGAAATATCTCCCTGGTCCCTAAATATGAATACATCTCTCTTTTCTTTTCTTCTTTTCTTTCTTTTCTTTTCTTTTCTTTTTTTTCTTCTTTTCTTTTCTTCCTTCCTTCCTTCCTTTCTGTTCGTCCTTTCATTTGTTCATTCTTCCCTCCCTCCCTCCCTCCCTTTTCTCTCTCTCTCTCTCTCCCTCCCTCCCTTCTTTCCTTTCTTCCTTCCTTCCTTTCTGTTCGTCCTTTCATTTGTTCATTCTTCCCTCCCTCCCTCCCTCCCTTTTCTCTCTCTCTCTCTCTCCCTCCCTCCCTTCTTTCCTTTCTTCCTTCCTTCCTTTCTTTTTTGTTGTAGTATCAGAGATAGAACTCAGGACCTTGTACTTGCTAGGTAGGCACTTATTAAGCCCATTTCTATCTCTTATTTTTCTCTAGATTTTCTCATATCTATTTGAGCATGTCATCAACAACTCGAGGCTGCATAATTCCATGTTTTTCAAAACTTTTCCCTTCTAATCAACACTGAAATAGATTTAAAAATAGCCACTATCAACGAGAAGAAAGAGTTGTACTAATATTGTTTAGACAAGAGATCATGTCTGCATCTTGTACTCTGAATAACTACTTTTTTTTTTTTTTTTTTGCAGAAATGGGGATTGAACTCAGACCCTTGAGCTTGCAAGGGAAGTGCTTATTGCACTGAGCCATCTCCCCAGCCCCTCGGAATAACTACTACGAAGAAGACAACAATGTGCAATGTATTAATTATGGTAACTATCCTACTAACCTGTTTTGAAACCGGCTCATTGCTATTTCTGTCTCATTAAAATTAATAAAAATTTTAAAAATAGCCACTATCAGCCACTATCATTGATGAAATGACATTCACAATGAAACCTAGCCTCAAAAATGAATTTCTTTTGTGCTTTAAATATTGAACAAAATATTTTCCCTGTTAAAGTGGTCACTCTGTTAAAGGCATGAAGACACATTCCCAAGGAAACCACAGCTATATCCACAGCCAGCCTTGGAGAACTACTCTTGTCCCTGATGAAATACAGGTGGAAGACCAGACCTGAGGGAGGAATTTGGTGAAGAGCCAGACCACAGTCAGGATCTGCACTCCTTCACCAGAAGCAACTTCTAGAAGTCTGAAACCAGCTGTGCCCAGGTCTCCTCATTTTTTTTTAGATCAACTCATTCTGTGTACAGGCTTGAAATTTCCCTGCAGCTGATAACACATAATATATTCATACTGATTTTTTTTCATATTCAGGTACCTTTTAATTCTTTGCCTCTTCCCTCTCCCTATTCTATACCAAATTATTCTATTTCTTCCAGATTTTTCTCCCTAAAACAGTATTATATAGATCGTCTCTGACTGACTAATCAAAACTCATGCTTTTTTCCTGACACACATACTTTTTCTTTTGTTGTCTCAGGGACAAGGTCCCTCGTGTCCTGATCTACATGTTTGTAATCACAGTGTCTATGCAGAAATTATTTTTACGTAAAAACTGCACTTATAATTCATAATGAAATTACTATTTTTCAAGCATGTCACTACTGTACTCCATAACACTGTTAGATTAAAAAAGGAGCTTCCTGCCTCTGAGAGGCTTTACTCCTCATACAACTTTGAAACATAAAAACTTTACTCCTCATAATCATTTATTTCAGACATCATTTATCACAGTAATGAAAGTTAATATAATCAGATTATAGCCATCCTTTTGTGTCTTTGTGTGAGACCCTTGGTTAACAAAATACATGGTTGCCCACGTCCCTTGTATATATTTGCATATAAACCACACATATCTTCCTGTGTACTTTAAATAATCTCTAGATTATTCATAATATCTAACAAAATGAAAATATTATACTGCTTAGGGAATAATGTCAAGAAAGAAAGTCTGCACATTCCTGGTTTAGTCATATTTTTATTTTTTATTTTTGCATAAGTTGGGATTGAACTCAGACCCTCGCATTTGCCAGGGAAGTGCTTATTCCACTGAGCCATCTCTCCAGCCCCTAGTCATAATATTTATTCTCAAATATTTTTGATGTGCAGTTGCTTGGATCCCTGCATGCATGCAAGAACATGGAGGGCCAACTGTATATGATTTTATTATTATTATTATTATTATTATTATTTTAGGGAAGGGTCTACAGTGTGTTCAGGGTCTCACTACGAGATCAGACTCATACTAATCCTCCTGTTTACAGCCTCCTAAGTGCTGGGATTATAGGCACACACCACCACGCCCAGTCTCAGTCACAGTCTCAGCACGCCCTGGGGCGGGGCCAGCAGGGCAGGCCTGGCGATCAAACCCCTGGTCCCTGTGCCTGCTGCTGTATATGATTTATTTGAAGCAATCACTGAATGTGCATGATTGAAACAACTCTTGCTTTCAGAGTAGGAAATGTGAATGCTGAAGAACTATTTCATAGCCTAAGAGGTAAATCAGTTTTTGTTTAGGCATTCTGAATTTTACACTGAGCTCACATATACACAGTTCAAGGAATAAGGGGATGTAGCATGGTTAGCCGCACACTTCTACACTAAGTACCAGTGTGCTAGCATGTCACATGCATTGGAAAATGTAATGTCATCCTCTTTTAAAATGACTCTGGGACACTTGACCAAAAATAGTGATCATGTTATTAGACGAATGCAACATAACATAGTGCACTAAAAAGATAATCATAAATCAAATGATCTCTGATTTAAGGACCAGTGTTTAAAGGAATAATGCTGACGCTGAGTCACTAAGAAGGAAAATACATGCAGGTTCCAATGTGAACAAAGATCAAGAAAATATTAAGGAGTTTCTCTGCATAAAGATAAAATAATTTTGTGGGAAAGTATTTCAAACAAATCTCTAATATATAAATATTCTTTCACTAGTAACTGCCACATTGAGTTTTACCTATCAGCTGCTGAATTGTTCCCTTTTCACAAAGATCTGCGTTCACCGTCTCATTTTCAAGGTGGACCATGGCCCGCAGGAATCTCAAAGAGTAACGCATCTGTGCGAACTTGTTGCCACGGCCACTGGTGCCATGGAAACTGTTACCATGACTGAAGAAGGGCTCTGCAGAGAAAAATTAATGATTTGTTTTATGCCAAAGAATTTAAAATATAAAACATTTTAAATAAGCAATGTGTCAGATATATAGGTTTAAACAGATGTTAAAAATTTGCCATATTTCTTCACGGTTGGTAGAAAATGTCTTTTGCTTTCTTTGATTCTCAGAATGAAATATGTTAAAATTTTGAAATTTCACCAAAAATGTTATATATATTTATATATTAGACAGAGCCTTATATTTTTAGTTTTCTTCAGTATAATTTTATGTTTTATATTTTAGTAAGGGTCTACAGGGTTTGTCGGGTCTCACTACGTGTAGTGATCCACCTGTGTTCAGCTTCCCAGGCATTGGGATTACAGGTGCACGCCACCATGCCCAATCTCAATCACCATCCTAGTGCGCCCTGGGGGTGAGGCCGGCATGGCATGCTGGGGATCGAACCCTGGCCTCTGCACTCTGCCTAAGCAGGCGCTTTAATCCACTGAGCTATTTGGCTGGCCCTCACTATAACTATATAACTATAACTATA